CCGACTTCAGCCAGGTCACGATCTCGCGGTCCATGAGTTCGAGCCCCGCGTCGGGCTCTGGGCTGATGGCTCAGAGTCTGGAGCCTGTTTCCGATTCTGTGTCTCCCTCTCTCTCTGCCCCTCCCCCATTCATGCTCTGTCTCTCTCTGTCCCAAAAATAAATAAACGTTGAAAAAATAAAAATAAAAAAAAAATAAAACTCTGTAAGAACGAAAACTACCTGCATTGGTATGAGCAGCACCTAGCATGGTGACTGCACACAACATGTTGCTCAATAAATACTAATTTTTGAATGAACAGTCAATTAAGAACCCATGCTCATCTGGGCACAGATGGTGTTGCCGTCTGCCAGAAAAACTGCTAAAATCAAGGAAGAGACATTAGAGCCAAACTTGCTTTGCCACCTTTTCAGACCTTGACAGGGACACCTTTACAATCAAACATCTTCCCTCATCAGAAATGGCACAGCCTAGAGTAAATCTTCACAACTGTCCCAGCTCCAGCAAGTACCTACCTGTCTGAACAGTGTGCGACTTTTGAAAATGGCAGCAAGCGGCCAAAAGGTACAGAGGCCTTTACTGTGGTTCTAAGTACAGTAGATACAAGAACAAACTCTTCCTTTTAAGCCCCCAGAGAATGTATGTACATAGTAGACTGTATTCTATGAATGTTTGTAAAATAACTGTCTCTGTTTAGGTAAGCAGACATCTATATAGTCTCTAGCTAAGTATGCCTTCTCCTACCTATTTTCTTCCTGAATGAAACCAGCTGTGAAAAATGCACAGAGTTCTGAATTACAATGTTCTTCTATTCTTATATGAATAGAAGATGCTTATATGTAAGCATCTGCTTAAAACAATCTGATAATTCCACTGAAAAGCAATGATATTAATGTAGGATACCCTCTCCAAAATATTTATTCCAAGTATGACCAGAGAGAGCAATTTCTTCAAGTTTTCCTCACTTAGTGGCATATTAAAGATATTACTACACTGCTCATCTATAGTGTATAAATTATCTATGGAAGGCAGACCAGTTTAATGGCTAGAGGTATGGTCTGATTATTGAGAAACAATTTAATATTCAATTCCTAAACTCTTTTTATGTCATAAATACACTATGGAATGGACAGTTAAAATACAGGTGAAAGCTCTTAGGGAAATGATGCTACATAATATCAAATATTGGCACTATATCCAGAATTCCCTGTAATAATGCTCAAAGTATTCACTTAAACCACCCCCTTTAATGTACTTGAAATAAAGACTGTGACTATCTTAAGTCACAAAAATATTATCTACTCTTAAGATGGAATTATGCCCACTGAAGTTATAAATTTCTGAAAAATCAATATTCAACATCAAATAAGAAAACATAATTTTAAAACGTGGTTTTAAAAACACGCTATAGTATGAAATCTAAAATTAAGCCCAGTTCCATTCTTACTCCTAATATAATAAAAAATACTACTCTACTTCAAACACTTCACCTTGCTTCAATGCTTAATATTTTACACAACACTTTATACCCTAATGTAACTTTCAATTTCCATATACTCCAAGATGTTAATCACACAGAAAATAATGAAGAGTTATAATACTGCTATTTTTCCTCCTGTTCACTTAAGAAAAGGATAGCTAGGGGGCGCCTGGGTGGCGCAGTCGGTTAAGCGTCCGACTTCAGCCAGGTCACGATCTCGCGGTCCGTGAGTTCGAGCCCCGCGTCGGGCTCTGGGCTGATGGCTTGGAGCCTGGAGCCTGTTTCCGATTCTGTGTCTCCCTCTCTCTCTGCCCCTCCCCCGTTCATGCTCTGTCTCTCTGTCCCCAAAATAAATAAACGTTGAAAAAAAAAAAATTTTTTAAGAAAAGGATAGCCAGTATACCATTTTGGCATAAAGGAAAAGACTAAACCTAGGGAAACATCTTTAATTTCTTTTCAAAAGATGTGAATATGCCCATGAAATTCTCTGTGTATAAGTTTCACAATCATAAAAGTTCACTTCTGCATTTCTTAAACAAGTATTTACTGGGCCTTTATAAACATAAGGCCTTGGGGATACAAAGATGAATAAGACATAGTGGTCTCTATACTCAGTGACTATGGATTAACCTCAGCAAAAGTCATTTCAACCTTGATAAGTGGCACTCTGTTCTCTTCTAAGCAATACATATTTTAAGGCAATATATGGTAATTTTTATAACCTCTGTGAATTCTTACCCTTAAAAATGTATGGTAGTCAAGGGTTATGTGTTAGATTGTTAACTACTCCAGTTGGTTCACAGGGTCAAAAAAAGGTTGTTGGCTTGATACAGGTAAATGTTCCTAGTTTTTCAGTATGAATGACCGACCCATGCTGGACCATTATATGGTTCTTATGGAACTGACAGTACAAGAAACCCTTGAGAGTAGATTTGCTTCTTTATTCAACTTGGGAAAACAGGAAGATCTGAGAGATATTAACTATAAACAATATTAAAAGAATCTTCATTTGTATATTCTACTAGCATTTCTTAATTTCTTTACTTAATATTTTCCTTTTCCTCACTTTGAAGTGAAAGAGATTCTTTTCCTACCTCTGTCCTCTTGTCTAGCTAACCCACAATGAGACTTTAAGAGGGATTAGAGACTTTTAGATCTGGGAGGTTTACATGCCAGCTTTATCTGTATGGACACTATTATACTAATCACACCCAAGTATAGTAGGGCTTCTCTCTGTAATTCAAGACTGTGGTTTTTGTTTAGGAGAAAAGGGTGGCAAGCCCACATTTAGAGATAAACAAAAAGCACATATTTTATCATTCCAATGCCTTCTATTAGAATATATGAGGCCAAATCCCTGAGAGCCCATAGTTTGGCATGCATGGTAAAAAGTGCTCCCTTTCCAGATGCTCAGTTACTGAGGTGCACAGTTCTGCACCTAGGAACAAATTCCACCAAGGTCGAATCTCCTACACCTGCACCTCTATTCTGCCTGGAAGATGCAACCTATCCTATTCAAACCCAAGTGAGAGGAAGAGTGTCATAACTGAGCTGGGAGAGCTATCTTATCTGCGACCAATTCCTACATAAACTAGTCCAGGTCTTACCGTACTGCTTCAAACATTCTTATACAAAAGAAAAGAAAAATTCTCTTTTCTATTTTAGTTTGACCATATGTTCACTGCTTTCTACTCTGAGGCATAACTGAGAGAAGGAAAAAGATGTTTTCAGTAAATTATTAACATACTTTCAACTTCAAGTTTAAAGAGCTGGGCACATGCAAAAGAATGCCTGATTCGTATCCTCCTATATAACAAGAACAATGGGGAGCATAACAGTTCCTTATAACTAAAAATTATTATGGATTTGAGTCAACTACATTCTTTCTAGACACTGATGACAGGGGCAATCTTAAAAGCGTCAGGCTTTCTTCAATTAAAAAAAAATCTTATTTTACCATTTTACCAAAATTAAGAACAAGCCATCACACATGGAGTTCTTAAAAAAAACCTGCAAGGCTTACAAACATTTGAGAGGGATGTGGGGGACCAAGGAACCATGCACATTTCCCTTTCTGAATAACCTCTTACCAATTCAAGGGTAACACAATGGATTTAGGCTCACAGCACATTATTAAACTTCCTCTGTGGCGTGTATATATATATTCAGAAATCAATACATGTTTAGAAAGCAACAACAAACACTGAACTTATAAAGCTCAGAATGAGGCCGGGAGATCGGGGACTATTCCTTTTAAATACGTTCTCGGTAGTTAAGAGGAAATGTCCGATGATGTCATCCCTAGTTACTCCCTAGTGATGAACACTAACTACTGTACTGGGCTTTAAAAGGGGGACCATTTTCCTCCAGACAGTGGCGGCCGCCGTGCTTTGCTCAAAGGTTCTCCAGCTGGAAGTCTGGGAAGAAGGAGTGACCCGCAGTCTCCGGCTGGAAACAGGGGAGGGGCGTCGGCCCCCCGGCTCGCACCCCGGCTCCCCCGGCCGGGGCGGGAGGGAAGGGCCTGGGAGCGGCCCTACTTGCACCTGCTCCTCCCGCCGCCTACGGCCCGGGAGCAGTTATCCCCCACCGAGGCCCAGGCCGGCTTCGGCCCCCCTCCGAGGCCAACTCCCCGCCCCCCACCTCGTCCCGATCCCCGGAGGAAAAGACAATACATTTTAACGCCATTGGAGCTGCTGCTGTGCTGCGGCGGCTGCTTCTCTGGCTCCGGCGGGTGCGGTTCTCGCCGCGGCTCGCCCGGCTGCTCCACTGGCTGCTGATGCGGACTGTCGTCGCCAGCGGCCCCGAGCACCTCGGGTTTGTCGGCGTCCGCCATCCCGCTGCCGCTGCCTCCGCCTCCGCCACGGCCGCCTGCGCTGAGGGGCTCCGAGCGCTACAATGGCGGCGGCCGGGAAAGCGGTAACGGATCCCGATTTGAAAAGGCCCCGAGCGCTCAGTTGCCCGGATCTCGCGAGAACCGGTCGAGGCTGGGAGACTGGGAGAGGGTGTGAGCCGCGTGTGGGGGGTGGGAGTGGAGGGGTAGGGGGGAGGGATGGGGTGGCGGGTCAGGGCCGCCATTGCCGCAGTCAGCCCTGCTTCAGACCAGGGAGGGCCTAACTTGTCCAGAAGCCCCTGGTGGGGCTGTGTTCTGACCACCAGCCCGCCTATCGATTGGCACCCAATGGGGTCTTCGCTTACAAAAGTCGGATCTGAGTGCTGGAAATCCCTAGAGCTCTGAAACCCAGACTATTCAGTTCATTCCTTGTAGGGGCAGTTTCAATGAGAGAAGCACACACCACTTTGCATCTTTAAAGATGTCTGCAAATCTTCAGACCCGCCTTAGAAATCCTTTGAATAATGCAAACAAATCACTTGCCACTTAAATGCCTAGGCATCCCGTGGACATTCAATAAATAGTTATTGATGACAGGTTGCAATTCACCAAAATGCATACCTTTGAATTTCTTTGAATTCTGGTCGTTTTTAAGAAAGCGGATTTCCTGTGGAATTCAGCTATCGGCATATAAAAAGAAGACAAGTTTTTTAATTCTCTGGATAGCAACCCCTGAGGAGAATCTATAGTTTTTGTTTTGTTTTTTTCAGAAGAAAGCTTCTACTAGATTGGCTGATCATGGACATTTTGGTTTGGAGTTGTGTTTATGTTGGTGAAAATTATATTTGAAGTAGTTATAGGCTCTCAAATTTAATTACTGTATGGAGTTTTAAAATATAGTCCTAGATTTTTCCCCCTAAATATAAAAAAGTAACCCATTAAACTTAATTCCTAACTCTTGAATACTGTAATAGTATTTCACATTGAAATAACCCTTTTCAGCTGAAAGACCTTCCCAAATGTTTCTTTTCATAAAGAAGCAAGCCTGTATGTTTTACATGCTTTGCAGAATATCACATACACATTAGTGGTAAAGTGGTAGCTAGAAACAAATACTCAAGTAATACATAATTTCCTCATCCCCCCCTCCCCCCTGTTCTTTGACATTTTAATTATGCAAGTTTCTGCCCTCAACCAAAAAATACCTTGGAACATATCCTATACCAGAAGAGTTGAGCTATTTCATCAAACGTACACACATAGAAATCAGAACAGTTTTACTCCTGAGGAGCACACTTGGTAAAATACTGCTGTTTAGGGTGCTACTGACATCGTTTAACAAACACAACACACGCTATTGTAGTTACTGCATGAATTATTTCTCCTTGGTCAATCCCAAAACTTAGCATTTGGAATAGCAGAAAGGCATTGGATTTTGACACAGAAAACCTGGGTTAGGACCTCAGTTCTGCCACTTTCTGCCTATAACTCCTTGGGCAAGTCACTTAACTTCTCAATCTTTCCGTAATAAATAAGGACGATAATACCTACTTTACAGGATTAAGGTGAAAATTAAAAGAAAGCACTTTATGTAGGGCAAAGTTCTATATGAATATAAAGTAGTATTGTAATTCCCTATCTCTCCAGGCTGAGCAGGGTTTTAGTCAAAGAGAAGTCAGGTGATTTTCCCATAGAACTGAATTATAAGCACTTTCAAAACATCCATTATCCTCTGTTATTCTTTTGCTATAGTTGAATTTAATGATGAAAATTTAATCCTGCTGACCCTAATACAGTATTTTCTTGCAAAATCTTTCAATAGATTCAATTTAATATTTTTTAAGAGACCTTCATGCTTAACACAGAGTAGTAGGCACATGAGGAATATGAAAATGAGTATGGTACTGTTGGGAGACAACATTCATAAAAAGCACTATTTGAGTGCTATAACTGAGATAAATGTGAAGCATAATTAAAAATTTATTTATAAAACAAAAGACTGGACTGCATGCTGTAGTGTGCTAATTAAAATGTTTCATTAAAATATTTTTATTGATTACTGAGCTTTTTGGCACCTCTTAAAATGTTGTGCCATGCCTAAGAAAAATGCTTCCCTCACTGTAACTTAGTCCTGGTCCTAATAAATGGAACAAGGGCAAAGGTTATTCCTATAGGAGGATTGCTGAGCATTTCATAGAAGAGCTGGGTCTTAAAAGATGGAGAAAATTGGGGCAGCTTCTAAAGAGAAAATTATTGATACTACTCCATTGGACTGCTCTATAGATGTTTTCTTCCTCTCTTGCTATAAATATTATACTTACCTTAGCTAAATCGGTGAAAAAAAAGTTATTAACATTCTATTGCTACAATATATTTCTGTATTTTCCTTCCTTCCACTGTTTTTTTTTTTTTGAAGTTTATGTACACATGCTGAGAAATTCTTTAGTAATGTTTAGTTTTTATCTTCTCAAAATTCCCACTGCAAATGCTATCATTTATAATTGCACAAAATGAATTACTGGTACAACTTCCTATAACTACTTAGTTTTCTTTCTTACAAACTGGAGTGTGTGTGTGTGAGAGAGACAGAGAGAGAGAGAGACAGAGAGAGATAGAGAGAGAGAGAGGAGATTTAAAGAGACCATTATACATACCTGGAAATTTAACCCTAGAATTCTAAAATATTTTCAACCAATACTTTAATGTCATATAGGAATTGTGTTCACCTGCTAGTAACAGAGATTAAAAATAATAGTGTCTTAAACAAAATAAAAGTTTCTACTTTATTAAGTAAAAATAGTGCAAAAGTAGGCACCCTAGAGCAGGTATAGTCATCATGGGCTCAGGTTTCTTCTAAATCTTTCACCAACCTAGTGTGTGGCTTCTATTCTTAATGTCTTTCTATGGCCCAAGATAGCTACTGGAGATCTAGGCACCTGTCCTCAGTAGAAGCCAGAAGCAGTCCGGTAAAGAGGCATCCAGAATCTCAAACAACATTTTGACTTATAGGTCAAAATTTAGTAATATGACACACTCAGCTATAGGGGAGGCTGGCAAATAATTTCTCAGTTTGGCTCACTGCCCAGAGTTCTGCTACCAAAGAAGAGAATGGAGTGGCAACTTGGGTATGATCATCCTTTTAATCTGTCTTTAAGAATTGAAGGCAAAGACCAACAACAATATGAAGTCAACCAGAAAGTACAGTATGATTGTTAAGTCAGTTTACTTGGCTTTGTAAAATTAAATGGCTGGATTTAGAGCCACTAATTTTCCAAACTTTAAAGAACTGAAACTCCAAAAGGAATTTATGACTTTAAAAAATACTATGGGTTATATCTGAGATCCATATATAGTTCCCTTTTCCATCATGTAAGTTAATTCTATGATAAAAAAAAAAAGTGGATGTCAGTTATTGTCATTAGAAAAAGTATGGGAAAAAAGTATAGGTTTATTCTGACAATGACCTACTATTCCCTCTCTCTCTCTCTCTCTCTCTCTCTCCCCTCTGTCACTCCCTCCTTCTATTGCTTTGCTTAATTTAGGAGTCTAATTTTTCACATTTAGCATTCTAAAAATACATCCTGAGGAAAGGTCTCTACCCACCAAATGAATCTTAGAATTAAGGCAATTATGTGAATAATCCAGGCAGAAATCCCACTCTCGCCTCAATTATTCAAATAACTCAGATAATACAATGGGTTTTGCTTGAATTCCTTAGATAACTGTTTCATTTTTCAACTTTTACAAAGCCGGGGTCATCACCCAATAACAGATTTAATTTTAATTTTTATTTATTTAAAAAA